TGTAATTCATTGTAAAGAATGTATGACATCTAAAACTCCTCGCTGTCTTTTTTGTGAAGGGAGGTGTGACGATATTTAATATTTTATATCATAGCAATGTATTTTTGCATTTATACAAATTTATTCATTATAGTAATTGTTCTGTCTTAAGTTTATTTAATCTGATTTGCATATTCAATGGCAGTCTGAGCCATATTTTGATATATGTTAAACCCACTCCCTGGAAGAACTAAATAGGGTAGCCATGTGGTCTGAATTTCAGCACTGTGGTTGAATTTGAGTTGAACAGAAGCTGCATGTTTCAGGCGTGGTTTGACGGCTACACGTGGTTGTGCACTTTGTGGTTATTCCTTGCATCTGTTTCAGGAAACTCTCATGGTTTTGCCTTCTACCTATATGAAAGTCAACTTCTTTGTGTCCCGGCATCAACCGAACGCTCTTACGGTAACGGTTGTTAACTGGTCACTTAAACTACCCGAACATTACTGCCACTGAGACTATTGTATGCCGGCTCCATGATACCATGGCTACGCTAATAAGTCCTGCTTTCTACAGCCTGCATCAGTTTCAGTGTGGACAATGAACTTTAGGTAAATACTTTACATATAGCAAATTTGAATTTCCAAGAAATAACATTTATGTCACCATTTTACGCTAACTACCACAGTGCTCATCGATTGTGTCCTCAGCTAGTTATTCATTATGTTGTACAGTTTTTTTTTGTAGCTTGTATGTAGCAATCATCGTAATGGAAGAATAACCATTTGTATTCTCAAATTCACTATGTTCAATTACCCATTATTATTAATTAGACATTAATCTGTGATACAGCCAATGACGGAGAGAGAAATCTAGGTCAAGGGAAGCCACATGCCCTCATAGATTTGATTCCACATTACGTAACCCGTGACTGAGGCAAAGTGGCCAGCGCCATCTTGCTCCATCTTAACTTCCCTTTTTTCTCCGCAACGAGGTGCATTGCAGCAAAACAGTGCGGTTCAGTCAGCAGTTTTTCGACTGAGTTTTCTGAGGTACTCCTTCTGTGACCATTGGTAACAGTAAGACGTGGTGTCTGGTAAGATAACATATTCTTATTAGGGGCCATGTTCTTTTTGTACTGCACACAAACAACCCGGATGATGCATTTGACCTCTTCTGTAGGGCTTCATTGTGTCAGTTTGAACTGTAATTGCATTCGACTCATGCATGCCTTGGTCATTTCTTAGTGTAGTTAAAATGGACTCCAAGAAGAGCTCTTATCCTACCGGGTCATCATCCAATAAATCGACTCGGTCTGGCGGGAATTACCACATAGCAAATGTCACCTTTGTTTAGAATGCGTTTGGTGTTCGGGTTTTTTGCCACGAGTGTGTGTGCTTTAATTGGGACCCGAAAATCTGGGATAGTTTTAGAACCGTGTTCATGTTGCCGAGACTGATCGTGTCGCCCGTCCTCGGGCTAGTCGCGCCGTCAGTTTGGGCCTTACATGTGTGACTGAGAGGAGTGTCAGTATGAGTGGGAAGTCCTCCTGTTCGACTACCAGTACCTTGGGTGCTGCGGTGTCGAGTGGGAGCCTAGCAGTGGTGAAACCAAGGTCTCACCCCTGACTGGAGAGCATCCTTGCAGCCTGTTGTTGCAGGCTGGGGTCTGCTTGATCGTGTCGGCAATGGTCGTGTGCCTGGAGCCTAGTTCTTCTATGAGGCCTGTTGTGGGGTCCTTTGTGGGTATATCCTCACTGGGTACCGAACTTGCCTCTGGGATTCTGGCGATGTTCGAGAGCCTGTCAGGACAAATTTCGTTTCATTTATGTCGGATGGACAAGTTGCAGAGCATGTTGTTCATACCCTCATCATCACCCTCGGTCCTGAAGCAGTCATTCTGGTAGTTCTGTGGCTTCCGTGATCTGAGACGGTCGGATCCAAGGCAACAATGATTGCATGGCTCCCCTGGTCCAGCAGATTGCTGAATGTGGCAGGGCGCACAGATGGTGTTGATGGAAGGCGTTGGTCCTCTGCGGAAGAATATAGTACTAAAACCCACCTTCTGCTGGACCAAGCACTATCCAATCGGTACAATGTTGGGTAATGGAGCCAGCAGAGTCTGGAGCAAAACCTCATGCCCCCAACTGGACAGATTCTCAGTATCAGTCAGAAACAGTCCACCACACCCTGAGAATTGCGACCTATCAACTTTTGTGGCTAGCACACGGGAATGTATTATGGTGCATTTCTGGGACTCTGGGAAGCCTCAGAGGCGGAACGCACCAGCCTCCTAGACATATCTGTTAGCGAGACATCACATGGCTATGTGTGATATCCTGCAGTGTCATCTGGCTGTCTTTGCAGAGGCTACCTTTGTGCAGAGGGATGTTTTTTTGGCGAACTGAGTCGCAGGTTGCGTCACCACCTCAATTACGCAGACTGCTCCTCCTCCACCTTTTTTGATGAGAAGACGGAGGGTACAGTTTCAAAAACGTCGGGAAGCCACTGACCAGATGGTACAGATGAGACTCCAAGCGATGAAAACGTGTCAGCCAAAGTCGACACCCACTGTCTGGAAGCATCCTACTCTCTCTGCAAACTTCCTCGGGTGGTCGCCCCCATGTCACAGGAAGCAAGTTTGATGCTTACATCTGCAACAAGAGGGATGGGCAAGTGTTCGGCTGGGGCAGAATCTGGACTCACCTCATCGGAAGAGAGTTTGCCCCAATGTAGAACCATCAAACTCATGGCAGCATATCCCTGTCGCACACAGATTGCGTCAATGTATTCTTGCTTGGAACCAATGGGTAACAGACCCCTTGACACTCCAGGTGGCGATGCACAGTTACAAAACTCTGCTTCTATCCTCCCCTGTCAATGCCTCCTCCCATTGAGGCACTGACGGGGGAACCCCAAAGACAGAGGCGCCCTACACAGGGTAAAAGACCCTGCAGTAAGTCTGGGTTGGTTCCGCATAAGGACTCCAAGCACTGTTTTACTCTCCGTGCACCATTTGATTGGTTACCCATGCTAGATTTAGGCTATGCTTACCGGCACATGCCGATGCATCCAGTAAGTCATTGACTTGCCCATTTGGACCAAGTATTCAAATCCGTGGTGCTCTACTTCGTTTTCACCAGTGTGTTTAAACATGTGGTGCTGCTGCTGCATAAGTCATCACTACACATCAACCCGTACCTAGATGTCTGGTTGTTACACGATCAAAGCAAGGGATTGGTGGCCAAGCAGGTAAGACTAACACAGAATTTAGGATACCAATTAGGCTTTCTAGTAAATCTAAAAAAAGTCCTATCTACACCCACCCGTCAGTTGGTGTTTCTGGACATGGAGTTTGACACAGAGGCAGGCTTTGTACGTCCATCGCAGACTCATTGCCTCGCGATAAGCAGTCTAGCTGAACGTCTAACCGGCGGGAACTGGGGAGGCGAGTTACCCTCACAGACCAAGCGATGGATGCCTTTCCCTGGTGGGTGGCAATAGGCCAACTCGGACAGGGGGTCCCCTTGGACCAACTCGCCATTTCTATGACTTAGATAACAGATGCCTCACTCACAGGTTGGGGAGCACACCTAATGGACGAACAAGTCCAAGTAATATGAGCCCTACATTAGGTTCATATCAATTGGCTTGAACTGAAAGCAGTACACTTAGCACTGATACACTTTCGACCCGTAATTCGGGACCACAGTGTCTTGCTCCGCACAGACAACACAGAGGTGGTGTCCTACATCAACGAAGAGAGGGGACCAGATCCCCAATGCTGTCAGCTTTGGAGGAGCAAAATTCTCCATTGGTGTCTGGAAAGCAACGTGGAGCTAACTGCACACCACATTCCAGGGGTGTGGAACATTCAAGTGGACTCCCTCTCATGGCGATTCTGTTTCAAGTGGCAGGTACCCCAATAGGTAGCCTCCAGACTGTTTTGGCTGAATGACAGTCCCAAGTGGACCTATTCGCCACACCCCGGAATGCCAAGCTCCTGACGTACTCAACACTCATGACATACAGGCCCACACAGATGCATAGCATTTTCTTCCTTCCCGCTGATTTACTGGAGTGTCTCAAAAGCACGGGTACATTTCATCTGATAAATCTCAGTCTACTTAATTAATTAAGTCTATTTAAATGCATTCAACCAATTTCAATCTCTAGAGGGCGCAAATTTCCATGACCTACCCGCACAACATTGAATAAGTGTATAAATAGTGTCAATAGTGTCGACACTAATGTCATTTATCACTTGGTCTAGATCTGTTGCTTCTATGCTTGTTTTACATTTCTCGATGTGTCCTTTCTTGTAACAATTGTGTAATTCTGCATCTCTTAAACGACGTACATCCTGTGTATGGATTTTTTTCCAAGCTTCAATACCATGGTTTAATATTACCACGGTTGTTGCCACTCTGGTTGCCATGGCTACCAGAACTCATCTGTTTATTCTGCTTGTTGACTCCCATGTGCGAAGCACAAAATGAGAGTCTTTTCAGTTAGTGTGTCTGTATGTATGTGTGTGTGTGGGTGTGGGTGTGGGTGTGTGTGGGTGGGTGGGTGGGAGGGTGCGTGTGTGTGTATGTATGTTTGTGTGTCCGACTGTTACACTGATATCTCAAGAACCGTACATCAGTTTTTAATGAAACTTGGTGCATAGATGCTCTGGGCCAATGCGCAGATTTGATTAGGTTTTGGTAAAATTCTATGCATATTAATTACCTAATTTGCATGATAATTAGCTAACTGTTAGCTGTTCCATGACTGTTCCACTGATATCTAAACAACCGCTCATTGGAGTTCGATGAAACTTGGTATATAGATGCTCTGAACTAATGCTAGGTTTTGATTAGTTTTTGGTAAAAATTACCTAATTACTAATTACCTAATTTGCATAATGATTAGTCAATTTTTGTTTTTTCCACTGATATCTCAAGAACCATACATCAGTTTTTTTATAAAACTTGCTGCATAGATGCCTTGGGCCAATGCGCAGATTTGATTAAGTTTTGGTAAAATGCCATGAATATTAATTACCTAATTTGCATGATAATTAGCTAAATTTTTGCTGTTCCATGACTGTTCCACTGATATCTAATCAACCGCTCATTGGATTTCGATGAAACTTGGTACATAGATGCTCTGAACTAATGCTAGGTTTTGATTAGTTTTTAGTAAAAATTACCTAATTACCTAATTTGCATAATGATTAGTCAATTTTTGGTTTTTCCACTGATATCTCAAGAACCATACATCAGTTTTTTTTTATGAAACTTGGTGCATAGATGCCCTGGGCCAATGCGCAGATTTGATTAGGTTTTGGTAAAATTCCATGCATATTAATTACCTAATTTGCATGATAATTAGCTAATTGTTAGCTGTTCCATGACTGTTCCACTGATATCTAAACAACCGCTCATTGAATTTCGATGAAACGTGATACATAGATGCTCTGAACTAATGCTAGGTTTTGATTAGTTTTTGGTAAAAATTACCTAATTACTAATTACCTAATTTGCATAATGATTAGTCAATTTTTGTTTTTTCCACTGATATCTCAAGAACCATACATCAGTTTTTTATAAAACTTGCTGCATAGATGCCTTGGGCCAATGCGCAGATTTGATTAAGTTTTGGTAAAATGCCATGAATATTAATTACCTAATTTGCATGATAATTAGCTAAATTTTTGCTGTTCCATGACTGTTCCACTGATATCTAATCAACCGCTCATTGGATTTCGATGAAACTTAGTACATAGATGCTCTGAACTAATGCTAGGTTTTGATTAGTTTTTGGTAAAAATTACCTAATTACTAATTTGCATAATTATTAGTCAATTTTCGTTTTTTCCACTGATATCTAAAGTACTAATCATCACATATCAATGAAACTTGGTACATAGATATCATAGGACACTGCACAAACCTGATAGTTTTTACTTTAATATCAGTGCTTATTAATTACCTAATTTGCATAATTAATTAATTTTCAGCTTTTGATGTTTCAAGTAGTAAGCATTACATTTCATTTTGCGTATTTCTGCTCCATTCATTTGTGAAAGTATTGTTTATTTATTCAACCTCAGCATTTCATCAGGTATTTTTCCAGACATGTTTAAGCATGCCAAAGTTATTCCATTACACAAGGGT